ACAACAGTGAACAAAACAGATCAAAATTCCTGCCCTTGTGGAGTTAACGTTCTAAAGGTGGCCCCTACTTTCTTATTCACCCTTGTAGTTCCAGTGCCTGGCCGTTGATAGAGATGATAAAGGTAGAAAAGTAGTTGGGTCTACCAACAAGCTTTTTCAATAGTCTCTTCCTGCTTTTATTATCTTCACTTGGATATGTTTGCTTTTCCTATGTTCACTTTTACCTGTGTTTGCTTTTAAATTTCAATCATGTGTTTGTTAGGCAAAGTACCTCCATGTAGTCTAAAAGGGGTAGTACTGGACCTAGACAAAATATCTAAGCAAAGTTCAATTTTTACCCTCTCCCTTCTCTCTTCCATCCCTCTTCTGTTTCTTTGTCACACTTCTCTTGCCCATTTCCCTTGAGAGCAAACACCCTCTGGCTGTCCAGAAGGAAGTATTGTTAGGCGTCCAACTTAGTATTGTACTTTCTTTTTCCAAAGTATCCCAGGTTCTCCCTAATTTTCCCTGAATATCCCTAAAGTCAGAGCTATTATTTTCTCTCCTGAAAGGCTTCACACTTGTCATTCCCCACCCAGTGAGAAAGGCCCTCCTCATTGCTGTCTCTGCCTTGCACTGGGAACACTGATTCTCTTGCCTGGCTCTTCCTCGAGGGATCTTGAGTTTAATTCTTATCATCCCTAGCACTTTCCAGAATTTACAACAGTTCAATAAAGTATTAATAAATGAATAAACGAATAAAAGAATATGCACATGTATACACACACATATGAGGGTATTTCAGAAAGTTCATGGAAAGATTCATAATAACTTTTAATTCTTTTTCCAAGAATTTTTGAAGTACCCTCGTATATATCCTCTCCCCCTGAATTCAGCTATACGTATGGCTTCAATACAAGAAGTTTCTACATTGCAAGGAGATCTACAAAAAGAGGCAGACAGAAATACCCACCTTGAACCGGAAGAAAGTAGTTTCTTTAAAAATGTTAGAACTTAAAAGAGGTGTGTTTAGATATCCCTGATCATGTCACATCTGTATGGGTAAGATTAATACATGGCTTTTGCATTGTTTGTAAATTCAGTTTGACCTTTTATGCGAATAAAGTGTGTATTACAATGCTGTTTCTGTATGTTACCGGAGGTCCCTTCCCCAGGATGTAAGTGAGCCAGCGGCATGATCTTTTTTGAGATTTTGCCAAGGGAAGGCTGGGCTGGAACTGAGGAGCCAACATACTATTGAAACTAAGTATCCTGCTGGGCATGTTGGGGAAGAGATGGGATTCTTGCATGAATACAAGATCATAAACTTTTTGAAGGAAAGAGTTTTAAGAGGTCTTCCAGATCACCTAGATGCCCTGCGTCATGCGCAAGTATAAAATGAACCCAATACTCCCCGCAGAGAATCCTTCCTGTGGAACTGAGTCTTCCTCCCTCCTCCCCTCCCCATACAAGGCGGAATCCCCACGCAGTGTATATGCAGGCGCTGCCGCGACTGCTCCTGGAACCAGACCTCCCTCCCTCTCCTGTCCTCGCCAAACTCCGGAGATGTCAAAGATTCTTAAGCAGGGGTTTTCCAATCTGCCCCTAAAGGAACTGCCTCTGAGGCAAGGCGGGCAGGCCCAAGCTGCGATGTGGAGAATTTGATGTCCGAGCGACCTCCTCGGAGGAGCGGATCGAGTTAAATATAACCGCACGAATGGAATGGCGCTAAAAATAAGGCAACAGCTGGCCGGTCCACAGCCCCGTCCCGGGAAGGGCGGGGGCCTGAGGGGTCTTGTGCGGGAAGGCCGCTCCGGGCCTAGGGGCGAGGAGGCCGCGGAGTCCGCCGCCGGGCGGGAAGGCCAGCGAGGTGGGCCCGGCTGCTCACGGCCGGGGAGGCCTCTCCCCGCGCGGGTCTCGGGGCCTGGACTCAGGGTCGCTCGGTGGCCTGAGGGGGGACTTTCCAAAGGAATCAGCAAACCAGGAGAACTTGCCTGGACTTTAACAAGGCGGAAGGGCTGGGCGCTGAGGTCCTGCCCGCCCCGCCGCCAGAGGGAGCTGCGAGCGAGAGGAGGAGGAGCGGAACCCTCGAGGAGGCTCGGGCGTCGCGGGAGATCGAAGCGCAGGGGGCCCTGGGACGGGCGGTCCCGCGCGCTCCCTCGAGGCGCCCGGGACGGGTGGCGTTCGGCCTCCACGCTCCCCGCCTTCCCACAAGCCCCTTCCCTCGCGCGCCCCGCGGCCCTGCCCGCCCTCCCGCGTCAGCGCCCCAACCATCAAGCCAACAATTGAAACGTTTTCAAAGCGGGCTATTTATTTGCACCCAATAAATCGATCGGCGGTGATTAAGAAATCGATGTGGCCTGGGTGGGCGAGTCGCTTGCGGGGAGGGAAAGGCACTTTCGTCCTGCTCCCGCAGAGAGGCCGAGGGCGGGCACCGGCCTGAAAGAGGCGTGTCCCGCCCGGGCCACACCCGAGGAGCCGCCACCTGGGCGCGCAGTCCCCGGCAGGCCGCGTTCCCTCCAGCAGCGAGGGGCGCGCGCCTGCAGCCTGCTTTCCTCGGCCCCTCTCGCCTTTCTCTCTTGTTCGCCGGGAAGGCTGTGGCCGCGAGCGGCCGCCGAGGGGCTCGGAGGCTTTTGTTGCTCCTCGGCCGGCTGAATGGGGATTTTGTAAAGTGGGACAGATAAAAATGAGCATCATCATATTGTTTGACAGAATGATCCCGCATGATGAAGTACCGGCTCCGAAGGGGGTGAAAATAGTGTATTCCTAAAAACCCAGCCCTCGGCTCCTCCGCGAGCTGCCGATAGCCTGGAGGGACCCAGCGGACAGCCGGGCCCAGCCACACTACACCTAACAGTGTCGGAAAGACTCCGGCTTTCAATGCCAAGTCATTTTTAAGCCCCGATCCTGCCCAGGACCTTTCTCCTCGCTGATGAAAAGAACAATTTTCGAGAGAAAGGCTCGTTTTGATTAAATCTGACATGCTGCTGATAACTCCATGCTAATGTGAAATAATTAACATAATAGCCATAATTAAAAGCACGCTAACAATGCCATAAATTTATCACACAATTTTACTAGCTTTCTGCCCCTAACTGCTCTCTCATCGTTAATTAAACGTGTTGCCTTTTACAGAATGTATGTTTATACATTTCCAATATAAATAAATTCGAAACCATCCTTTCTCTCTCTCTCCTCCTTTCCTTTTGGTTTCTCGCCATTTACAGGCATGCCTTGGCGTGGACCCCGAGTGGCAGCACCTTGAAAATAAATGAAGTTTTGAGATGCAAATCCAAACAAGAACATTAAATTAGCCTTTTTTTTTTTTTCACCCCGAAGAGATCTGAGAGGTATGCAAGTGTTGTGGTGGTGGGAAATGAATTGAAAATCCTATGCACTAGGAAATGGAAATCATTTGGGTGCGTTGGGGCCCGGGTATCACCTTTGCCCTTCCCACGTTCCTAGGTAGCAGCCATCCAGACAAAGAGCTGATAATAGTTTAACAAATCTATGAAGATTGCCAAGAAGGAGCAGACTTTGGTTCTTGGGGAGCGGGAGGGGGAATAGGGGAGGAAGGGGGGTGTTTTTCAAATGGCTCCACGTTTTGTTTCCTTTGCAAGAGAGAGGGTGGCTACTCTCGGTAGGGGACGCGCATCTCACTCCGCAGAACCTGGTACCATCTCCCTGGATTGTGAGAAGAGTGCACCCCGCGCGGGGGCAGGATGATTTTATCTCACATGGCACCAACGATTTATTTAAGCCATCGGCCATCGGGATAGTCTCTTACCTAAAGGAGAAAAGGGCGCTTGGGTTCGTTTGGGCCTGGCTGGGGTAGGTGGGCCATTCCTGCTATCCACACCCTTTGACTGTGCCCCTCTTCCGGTGCTGACCACTTAGGAGCCAAACTTGAGCTGCAATAAATTTTCTCTTCTCTGTCATAAATTGTTCCATCCACTTTTACCTCCCCCCCGCCTCCCACTAAATCTCCCCTCCCCTCAGGACGTCTCAATTTTCTTCCTATCGATCCGGACGCCACTCTTCTTTCTTGCCTCCTGTTGCTGGATCCCAGCCCCCCACCCCCACCCCGTCCCCATCCCAGTCCCCGTCCCCATCCCAGTGGCTTCCCCAGCTGGCTACCACGCACCCTGCCCGCCCCAGAAGAAACCGAAGGAGTTTTATTCCACTCCCTTTTGGTTGAAACACGTTTCAAACTCTTGAGCAGGTGAGACCGCTGGCTGCCATCTTCTTCCAATCTCTCCTGGGAAGTTTGTTGAGACCCAAAGAGTCGCTCTCACTCACAACTGTGTGCGTGTGTGTGTGCTCCGTGTATTTCATTCTCCATCTCCTCCCCATAACCCTTTGAGACTCAGAAAATGTTTATCCTCATCTCTTCCTCCGCCCCCCCTTCCATTCCTCTATCACATTTTCTAACCCCCACGAATACTTCTCACTTTCTGTGTATGTTTCTCTTCCATCTCTGTCCTAAAGTTTGGCGGTAACTGACGACTTGAGGGCTTTAGCTGCAAACTGCAATTACTCGGCAAACAGAACTGACCTAGCCCGGAATCCAGCGGGCCTCGGACAGGACCCTCACCGCGCCGGGCTCGGACTCGTCAGCCGGGGCGGCCTTCCGCGGCGAGGCCAGCAGGAACTTTCAGGTCTCCCACCCGAGCCGCCGCTTCGCCTCCTTCCCGCCTCGGGAGGTTGTGCGGGCCCTACTGTCGGTCCAGGAGAAGGAAACCGGGGACCGGTTCCTTAGCCGAGAGTGACTGCGAAAAAATCCTATGAATCCGCTGGAAATCGATACCAAGCCGTGAGGCCGGCGAGGGCGCGGGACGTCGGGGCCGCAGCCCGTACGTCCTGCACGTCTCATCATTTAGCTAATCGAGTCGAAAAGTTTCTGTAAAGGCCGGACCCGGCATCAGATGGTAACACTGATTGAACAAGAGATTAGCACAATAGATCTCTAACCGAGGGGAAGCGTTGCTTTTCACGCTGCGCGCCGTAATTAATGGTATGAATCAATTAATTTGACTTTTATTGTGTCAAAGGAAAAAAGCGCAACAAATGGAACCGGCAGCTGGGAGTTGTTCATCCCCCACCCCCCTTCCCCAGGGAGGTTCCAAGGAGACACCGGGGAGTGGACGGATCAGGCTGGGCCCCGGCGGAGGGAGGGATGAGAGGCGGCGACCAGCGGCGTGGAGGGAGTCCCGGGAGCCAGCCCCGGCGGGCGGCGAAATTAGGCTCATTTGGAGGTTACTCTCAAGACCTGCGAGGGAATCCCTGGAGCCGCTGTCCTCTTGCGCACCTACACAAGTACGCGTGGACTCGGGCCCAGACACCCACGCCGCGGTAGGGCCCGCGCTGCGCCCCGTGCCAGCCTCTAGGGCTGCGCAACCCAAGCTGAGCAAAAGCAGTTTGTGAATATGTAAATCTCGGCTTATTTTTCTTGTCCTTCCGACCTTCCCTTGGGTTGCTCCGGCAGTTGTAGCCGAGACCTCTGTAGCCTAGGGCGGTAGGTAGCCAGCTCGCAGCTCGGGTCGGTTTCACCGGAGGCTGTCTAGACGGCATTGTAGAAGGTTCGGAGCCCTTGGGTCACAAAGCGGTGCAGCTGCGGAAATCAACTCAGAGATGCGTTTTAGGGTCAGGTGCAATCCTGAGATCATTTAGATACAGAAAAACCGTGGAGGTTCGGGCGTCTCAGGATGCAGTAACTGCACCCACCCTGCCCCCAGCTCCAACCAGGAACATCCTGCGAAGTCGGGATCCAAGGGGCTAGTGTTATATCCGGGTAAATTGCCTAACGGAGATGAAAGCCAATCTGTGCCGCAATGCCTGTAATGAAGTAAGTTTACAGATTTTTTTGGTTTGGGGTTTTTTCTGGGTTTTTTTTTTTTTTGGTGTGTCTAGGCCAGGGAAAGAGGGGGTCCTAAGTGGGAGACAGACTGAGGGAATCGGAAACACCACGGTCCACCCGGAATTAGGTCCGTTCCCTAGTGTCTTCTGTAAATATTTCACTAATTATTTCCTCCGGACCTTCTTCCCTCGTGCTCCTCCCCCTGGTGAAGCCGGCGCTCCCCTCCCAGGCCTCAACAGACAGACTGGTCTTGGGTTTCCTGAGCCCGCCACACCCGGTAGGCGCTTGCGGCTCGCATCGAGGCCGCCTAAAAGCGGGAGGAAAGAGGTGGCGCATCGCGGATTCGCGGGGTCAGGAGCACTGATTCCCCTTGGAGGTGTGAGGTCCACGCGCCCCAGGAACGCAACGCACCCGGGGTCGGTTTGCGGTTCCCCCCTCCCCCCCCAGTCCCAGTTAAATCCTCAGTCTTTCCTACCATCACTTACTTTCCTTGCCAAGGAAACTCCGTGCGCACTGGCCACATCCTCGTCTCCTCCACCCGCTCTCCTGCTGATTTCCACGGAAGTTAAATCTTGGCGGGTTTGTCTACACCTTAAGATAAGAAAATCCACGTTAGTTAGCAGCAACCGAGAGCCCGGCCCGCCGGCATGCCCGAGGCTGCCCAGGAAGGCACCACCCGCTCCCCGCACGGTTCCTCAGTCGTCCCGGCCTGGGCGCGGCGTCTAACTAGAGGCCTGAGGCCTCTTCCCGGCTCCACTCGACTTACCCAGGCCGCTGCCAGTCCCGGCTCCTTCCCCAGCGCCTCATTTCCGACTTTTTCATATGCTAAGTCCTTTAACAACTCCAAGAAGCCAGTTACGGCTTTTTTTATTTATAGGTTCCCTGTTATTTTACGTTGTTTTTATTTCTCTCGGCAACTATTCTAATAGATTAATCAATAGACATTTTCTGACCTTCGGGAACCCCAGCTGATGCTGTCCTGGCCGCGCGAAAAAAATATACAGAGAAAAACACGCCCATGTCGAGCCTGGAAAGCGAAGGCAGGATCCGGTGGCCAGGTTTGGGGGTAGGCGACGGGACACACCTCAGCAGGTGTCCTCCCCGGAATGAGCACTGAGGCTGGAGGGGGTCTGAAGTCTAATTAGCAAGAGGGAGCCGGGCGCACCGCTCTGACTCTTGGGAGCTAAAAACAAACAACAAAAAAAGAAAACACAGACTAGGAAGTTTTTCTTTTTAAAAAATGGGCTGGGAATCTTGTTCTACGTTGCCCACTTCTGTCTAAAGAGTGTTGGCGGGGGGAGGGAGGACGGACAGGGAAGGAAGAGGGGGTGGGGAACGCCGGGCAGGGAGAGTCGCACGGTCCGGCGGACGCTCCCAGGCCCACGCCCACACTCGCTCACACCCATCCACCCACTCCCACACGCACACGCTCCCGGGACCCGCGCGCCCGGCTCCCGCCTGGGCGGGGATCTCCAGGAGGGCCCGAGCGTCCTCGGGGCCCGCGGGATGCTGGCGCACGGTGCGGTGCCGAGTTGCGCGTCTCTCCTCCCTTTGTTGACAATTCCGCGAACCAACTTGAGTTTGGCCAGATCCGCGGCGGCCCTGACGTCACGCGCGGTCACGTGGCCCCGCCTCCCGCTGGATCTTTAAGTAGAAAGTAATCTATCAGGCCAGTCCTTAAAACGGGACTTTCGACTACCGGGGCTTCGGCGTCCCTGACACCCGCCCCCCTCCCCCCCCC